AATTCCTGCAGGATCACCGATGTTCGAAAAGTAATTTCAATCACACTGATATATACATATAATACATATATAATAATATACTAATAATACATAATATAAATGAATGAAATTAAAAGTAGAATATGAATTACTTGTGTAAGTTGGAGATATCAATGATAAAAATGATATATTATGTATGAATAAAAAAACACTACCGTAGCCTGAGTGCTGGGAATCGCGGTTGCGGTAAAGGCGGACGAACAGGATAGCAGGGTCCGGAGACCGTAAAGCAAGAGAGGTGGTTTCTCGTGGAGGCAAAGGTGAGAGCATAATACAAGAAAACCACGAAGAATACAAGGATAAATGGCTAGAACGTGGCATCTGTAAAGGCAGAACTGTTGGATAAACATGGTAAGTGATGTGCCGCTCAATACAAGCAAACATGAGAAGGCGTTTGTTTTCAAAACACCTCTAATATCGTAAGAGATGGGTTTTGGAGAATGCTCCTACTGCAAAGGTAAAGAGTTCACGGGTCTCATATAACGAGAGGTCTTCAAGTGTAAAGTTCAACTTCAGTTTACGAAGTGGGAATGGAAAATTACAAAGAGCTTGGTGTGTGGTACACCAACGTTTATATCTCATAAATGATTAAGTGAGAAATATGATACCTGATAACAAGATGGAAGTTTGCGGAAGGCGTTACTAAAACATGTAAACTATTTCCCTTGCCTTTAAAGTGGCGTGCTATCGATGTCAATGCTTGATGAGTTAAAAAACAGACGTTGTAGTGGATAAAGTAAATAGTGGGCATAAACCAAATTTAACATGTGGGTGAAAGGCTAGCATGCGGAGTTTATAACGCTAATCTACGATAAGACTTTTGGAAGTATGTACGATTTGATACGGTTCGAGCGTTGTGAATGCGTCTGTAACTGCAAAATTTCAACATACCTGTGCATATACAAAGCTATTATAGGAACTTCGTCTTTATAAAGGCAATTTGAACAGATATTTACGTACTGTGTTTTATATAAGTGAAAATTAAATAAAAACACATTTCGAGTGAAATGCTAATTAAACAAAAAGACGTGTAGCCAAAAAAAGCTATTTAAATTTTGAATTTTACCCTGTTACAATTGTTCATCTATGATTATTAACTAAATTACATAGAGGAATAATCCCAAAAAAGGTATTTTACAAAAGGGCCATTCCCCATCAATAATACTGTTAAAGTCCTCAATCGTTTTAAGAAAAAAATTGTTGAAATCTTATTCTGGCATACCGAGCTTTGTGCATTATCAGCTGCAAATAATATTCCACCAAATACAATCCATAAACAGAGAGTGTATTCTATGCATTCTACATGTATTAGATAGGGAAATGCTATTACTGGATTCCGATATGCTATCGTGTCGGCTGACGTTGTAATAATGTTCCACTATTATAACTCTCTACGCCCCAATTATACAACACTGGATGTATATCATAAATCACAACGAATTAGCGGTATAGATGAAAGGGTGCGAAAAATAATGAATTTCATTGCTCGGACAATTCAATCTATATTAAGAGGCTTTCACAAGACTTTATTAAATTATCAAAGAGCAACATCTAAAAACCTGGGACGGAATGACTATTACTTACAATTTCAATCTGTGTCATTACTTAAAATGCTGATCTGATGGCTTTAACAATTACATAGCAAGTATCAAGAAGCTTTAACATACATGCAATGTTCTGATAGCGTATTACAATTACAATGCTGATTTAAACTAGTGCTAATTACATTAAAGCATGACTGTTCTGTGATTATATCACTACATTGTTCTGTGCTCAAATGGCATTACAAATTCACTTTTCTGCTTACAATAAATACATACTGTATATATTACAATTACAATGAACTGTTAAACTGATCCTGTACATAGAACTTTCACAGAGTTGCTGAGTGCTTACATGAAATTACTACGTATCTGTGCATATAACAATGACATATCGTTCTGTGTCATATAAACAAGCTAAATATATCACAATTCAAGGGGGGCAATGTGCTTAAAATAAATTACATTCAATATTTGCTTATAATCTTAAATGTAAAATCATGAGGATGTCTTTATAAAATAAATTCATAATCATATCTGTGCCTTAACATAGGAGGCGTATACACACACTAAAAGATTCGACTAAGTTATTCGTTGCCAAAGGCGCATATACTCACCGTGAGGGAATGAATGAGAAATAGAACTGTCTTACGGAACAAAACTCGCAAGCATCAAAATAAAAAGGAAAATCTACCTCCCAAATCTTACACCAATCCAAGAGCTGGCCAAGGAGAAAAAGTGAAACTAACCTCCCGGTAAAAAACGTAGTTAATTAAAACTAAAGGACTATACGAAAGTGAATGCAACGTGAAAGAGCAAATAACTTGAATACGAGATAAGATGAGAAGTATCCACTGTGAGAAATAGAGGATTGGGGAAAAGGAAAGAGGCAAACAAAGAAACGGGGGAGGAGACGGCATGGAAGAAACGAGAAAACATTAGCAACATAACAATACAGCCAAAGAAAAAGCTTTAACCCGTACATCTGAAACCTAAAAAGGTTTTATCACGTATTTAAGAAAGTTGTATTCAAAAGGTATAAAATTACATACTATATATTAAGAATAAACTAATTAATACAATAAAAATTAAGTTAAATAAAGTATATTAAACTAAATTTCATGAGATTCTAAAGACAAAAAACAATAAACTTTGTACAAAGTACGATAGAGCACATCTTACTGGTCATACCAGCATTAAAGTTGGTTAGAAAGATATCAACAACCAAGATAGGCAAGTAAAGTGACAAAAATGGTTAGTGGCACATTAACGTCAAAAACATTGATTCGCTTTTTATCGGTGCAAAGCTCGCACTATCGATGACTAAGAAGGAAATAATACGGTACAACAAAAACCGGAGCCGCGTGCGAAGTTCACGTTAATCCAGCAATGGAGTCTATCTACGACTCCACAACTCCAACCTATCATGTAGGCACGAGTTATAAGTTAGGAATGCATAACCTCCAAATCTAGACAACGAATCATCAAACTGATGTAAAGGCTGAGCTTCAAACGAAGTAAAGTGTGGGCGACATCCACGAAAACTAAAAAAAGAGATTAGAGTATTACCGCGCAGATGAGAGCTGAAGGTATTTCTAAGATTTAAGGTAAGAGATAATCCGCCGTGAGGGACTAGAGAGTTTTCTAAGATTTCAGGAGTAAAGAGTATAAAAAACCGCGTGAAGGTGGAGGTTTTACAAAAAATAAAATGAGATATAAAGGTAGTGTATCCGCCCGGAAAGGGCTGAGGGTTTTTAACTAAGATAAAGTAGAGTATTCCGCTGATGAGGGTCTGAAGTTTTCCTAAAGATTAAAGGTAGTGTAATGAAAAACCGCCGGAATTAATGAGGCCTAGAGTTTTCTAAAGAACTAAGGTAGTGTTATCGGGCCGGAAAGAGGCTAGAAATAGGTTTTCCTCTAAGTAACTAAGTGTAGTGATAATCCGCGACGGTAAAGGGCTGAAAGTTTTACTAAAAGAACTAAAAGAGAATCAAGATTGTATCAAATCGCCGGAAGGGCTTGAGGTTTTACTAAAAAGAAAACTAGGTAGTGTATCCCAGGAAGGGCTTTGAAGAGTTATTCCATAAGATTACAAGATAAGTGTATCCGACGAAAGGCTGAGGTATTTTATCAGATTAAGGTAGTGTATCGCCAAGGGCTGAAGTTTCAATAAGATTAAAAAAAGGAGAGTAAAGTAATAATACGACGAAAAGGCTGAAGTATTTCTAGAATTATAAATGGTAGTGTTAATCCGCACAGAGAAGGGCTTGAGGTTTTCTAAAAGATAAAGTATGTATCCAGAGCACGGAAGAGGCTGAGGATTTCTAAAAGAAATTAAGGTGTGTAATTCATGCGAAGAAGGGGCTAGAGAGTTATTTCATTAAAGATTAAGGTAGAAGTATCCGCCGAAAGAGGCATAAGATTCTAAAGATTAAAAGTATGATATCCACGATGAGGGCTGAGGTATTCTAAGAAATATAAAGGATTAAGAATAGTATCCTGCTAGAAAGGCTGAAAGATTTTACTAAAAAGATAAAAGAGTAAAAGTAACAACAAGCCCGAGGAACGGGCATGTAGCGATTATTCTAAAGATTCAAAAAATAAAGTGATAATCGCCGTGAAGGGCTAAGAAACGGTTTTCCTAGAAAATTAAAGAGTAAGTGTAATCTGCCAGAGAGATAGGGAAACTGAGTGATTTTCATAAAAGAAAATATGAGCGTAAGTAAGAGTATCCAGCACGAAAGGCTCGGTTTTCTAAGAAGTTAAAAGGTAGTGATAATAAACGCGAGACCAGGAGGCTGAGTATTCTTGCTAATTAAAAGGTAGAGAGTATCCGGACAGGAAGGGCTAGGTTTCATATAAATTAAGGTCGTGTAAAGTTACAGGTACCGTGAAGGGCTGAGTTTTCTTAAGATTAAAGAGTAGTAGTAAATCTGCCAGAGAAGGCTGAGGTTTTCTAAGATTAAAAGAGTAGAAGATAATCCGCCGGAAAGGGCACTGAAGGTTTTTCTATAAAGATTAAGGTAAGTATGTGATCCGCCGGAAGGGCTGAGGTTTTCTAAGATTAAGGTAGAGTATCCGCCGGAAGGGCTGAGGTTTTCTAAGATTAAGGTAGTGTATCCGCCGGAAGGGCTGAGGTTTTCTAAGATTAAGGTAGTGTATCCGCCGGAAGGGCTGAGGATTTCTAAGACTAAGGTAGAGTATCCGCCGGAAGGGCTGAGGTTTTCTAAGACTAAGGTAGAGTATCCGCCGGAAGGGCTGAGGTTTTCTAAGACTAAGGTAGAGTATCCGCCGGAAGGGCTGAGGTTTTCTAAGACTAAGGTAGAGCCTATATGGCTCATTGAGGTTAGCATTAGTAGAGTTTTTTTGTCCGTTTGGATTTATGTTTTGTTCGTTTAAATTGTGTCTTCTCTGCTTTAGAGTGGAGATGTTTGCTAACAACCTGAAGCAATCCAGAGGTGCTAGTTGTCAGCCAGATGATGGTGAATGCCCCAGAGCAAGCACGCCTATATTAGAGGTGAGAAACCAACAACAAGTCACACCCACATAATTAGTTTGAGTCACACCCATGCATCTCTCTACTTATGCTTGTGATTCATTTCATGCATGTATTCAGGGTGCGAAATTAACAGGAGTCCAGAGTCAAATACTCCCTGATTTATTGTCGGACACCCTGATTTGACATATGCAGGAGTCCATGTGACTCTCTGAAAATTCTGCTATACAAACTAGTTCGTTCCAGAGCACGGCCTCGCGGAATTACCGTATTTTTTCAGCTAATGTCCAAATAAAATTTGGCAGATGTGCTACTGCATGAATCTTAAAAATAAGCACATGCGTTATTGTTAATATCTTTAATTTTGAACCTCAGACTGCGGACTCCCTCATTTTGCCGCGGACTCCCTCATTTTGAGGGTAGGGAGTCCGATGGACTCCCGTCTTCAAAAGTAAATTTCTAATATAATAACTCCTGTGTATTGGTGGGTAATCCTGGTGTCATCAAGAACTAATAATACCTACATAAGAACCTAATCGAATGATATCGTACCTAACCTATAATATCGACCCTAATCGAACCTTACCTATAATAATATCAAACTTAATCGAACCTACCCTATAATAATAACAAACCTAATCGAACCTAACCTATAATAATATCAAACCTAATCGAACCTAACCTATAATAATATCAAACCTAATCGAACCTAATCGAATAATACCTAATCAAGAGCTAAATAATACCTATAATAAGGTATTATTAGCCTCTTGGTATCATGTAAAAAGCAAAGACACGAAGTTGTAATATTGATTGCGTTTTTGCTCAGCAGGTGGCGGCACGTGCTCACGTAGCTTGTTTTCTCTCTCCTTGCACAGGTGTCTCAGCAGTCGTCGTTCACGTCGCACCGGTCCTTCATGACAACGCAATCGTCGTTCAGCGACCCGACCGCCATGACGAAGATCTCGGCATTAGAGGACGAGCTGGTGACGCTACGGCAGCAGATAGCTCTCATTCTCACCACGCAGAATGGTAACCATGGCGACCGCGTCACCGCCGAACTGTCGAGATGCAAATTTCTTCGATTTAAATTTGAGCTGTGAACGTGACTAAACGTCAGTTTGACTAAACGTGTGAATGTGACTTAACGTGAATGTTTTTTGGGGTTTTTGTTGTTTGAGAAAATGTTGAATATTGGTCTGTTAACATGCGATGCGTCCGTTTGTCTTTCTAGCAGCGCCGCACACGCCGTGTGCACCTCTTCCGACGCCGGTGACGCCGGCGGACCAGCAGACGTGCTTCCCTATGCCCACCCCTCCTCCTCCTCCTCCTCCTGCTCCTATAGCACCCCCTCCCCCTCCTCCTCTTGGTCTATCGACAAATACGTTGGTGCAGGATTTAATCAAACAGGTTAGTGTTGTGCGTATCGAAGCATCCATATATATATATATATATATATCAAAGCCTCCATATATATATATATATATGGTGGGTGGTTTCGTGATAAA